ATATATGTATTGCTTTTGGTAGATTAGTCATTTTGATTATATTAAGAGTCTCCCTGTCCATGAGCATGAAATGTATGTTATGATCTAAACCCTTTAATACCATCTTGTAATTTTCACGGCATTTGTCCTTCACCTTCTTAGTTATGTTAATTCCTAGGTATTTGATTTTCACTTTTGTGAGGGGGAGCAGAAATTATGAACAGAATTACTTTCTTAATTTCTTTTTCTTCTGGTTTGTTGTTTATATATAAAAATAACAGATTTGTATATGTTGATTTTGAGTCTGTCACTTTATTGTATACATTTGTTTTCAATAGCTTTTGGTGGAATTTTTAGGGCTTTCTATATATAATATTTACAAATAATGATAATTTCACTTCTTTTTCAAATTGAATTTATTTCACTTCTCATTGCTTTAGCAAGAGCCTGTAATGCTCATTTAAACAATTGGTGACAGTGGGTAGGTATCCTTGTCTTTCTCCTCATTTGAAGCCAAAGTTCCTGTTCTTCATAATTAAATATTGCATTGTCTGTAGTTTAAAAAAAAATTGTCTTTGTAATGTATATGTAGATTCCTTGTACTTCCATTTTGTAGTAAATGGATGCTGAATTTTATCAAATATTTCTTTGCATCTATTGATATTTTGTGTTTACTTTTGTTGATATAATGTATTGCTTGTTGCAACCCTGGGATAGATTCCACTTATCCAAATAAGCTCATAATGCTAGTATGTGATTTTAGCAAAATCACTGGTTAATATGGAAAATTCAAGATTTTTATGTACATGTAGCAAATAACTAGAAATGTAATTAAACAACTTTCTATAAATTATGAGACACAAAGTAATTAAAAATTAATCTAGTATAAGACCTCTGTTACCTCTGTACTGCGAACTAGAACACATTGCTGGGAGATATTAAAGAAGATTTTTTAAAAATGGAGTGATATACTATTTTCTTGGATTGGAACATTAAATATTATAAAAGTGGTACTTCATTCCAAAGTGATCATAATCATAAACCTGTTTGCTATTTTTCTTGGATAAAAATATAGCAATTGTTTGTAAATTTTACATGGTAATAAAACATACACTGAATAAGTATAGCTCTGTATATGATATCTATACTATACTACAAAAGGGTTTTACCTTATATCTTAGTTGTGGTCTGATTGTATCTATTAAGCATAGTAAGCGCTGCTAGTCACAGTATGGTTCTGAAAAACTCTGTTAAGTGTTTAGGATTCTTAAAGACTTTGACTCTAAACTAAGGTATATGCCAATTACTGATTGGGAATGCAGAAAATTATTTTTAAAGTGCTGAATATCAAGTTTCTTTATCTTTTAAATAAGATGGAAATATTTATTTTGTAGAATTATGATTATGTACAGTATTTAACAAGTTGCCTGATTCCTAGTCAGTATTATATATGTCTTAATTCCTTTTATTTGTCATTTGTCTTCAGTACTTAACTTCAATGTAGCCATATAGAAGAAATTTGTGAATTTGTCTTAAGTTGAATATAAACTACAGTATGTCAAATGGGAAAATTTAACTAGCTGAATTATCTGAACATTTAGTAAAATGCTGTTTGAACTCCAAGTAGTTTTTTTAAAAAAGAAGCTAAGTAGTTGTTACTGCTTAAATGGTCTAAAGGTGCCATTTTCTTTTCAAAAAATCTTAAAAATAAGAATTAAAGTAAGGCTCTCCTCGAATGGTCAATGAGATTACTTCCCTAAAGCCATGTAATTATTTTGTTAGTTTAAGGAAAACAACTTTTAAAGACCTGTCTTAAAAGTTTTTCTTCATTTAAGCTGATGCGTACTTATATAAGTAAGCATTATTCATCCTGTTAGTTTTGACACTTGTATTTTTAAGGAAAAGATCTGCATAGCCGTGTGAAATTCCAAAGTATTTATGTAGATCTTTGTAATTATTTAAAAAATCCTCTTTGCATGTATTTCATCTGTAAGTATTATTATAGTCATTCACTGTAGAGAATGTAGAGGTCCTTATATCGTTCTTAAAAAATGAATGTCCCATAATTCCAGTACTCTGTATTATCTGACCAAGTGCTCATTTAGCTCTGTTTAGAAATCATTTAAAAATTGTAGGCAAGAAGTTCTGATGAATTTTAAAATAGTATTTAGTAAATAATGACAAATGTTGACATAAATGTATTGTAAAATCTGTATGTCTAAGAAAAATAATATTAACTAATATTAAGAATTTTGGTAGCTGAATAACAGTTCAGAAAATGGATCTATTGCTTTGATAATTAGCATAATATTTGAATTGCAAAATCTTCTCAATATAATGAGTATAGTACTTTTTCACTTAAGTACCTTATAAAAATCTTAAAGGTTTCAAGCCAAAAAAATTCTGTTTAGAATTTTGTTTAGAAAATACTTATCAGAGTATGGAGTTTGAATTATAGAGACTTATAAAGGCTTATTTTTTAAAAAGTTAATCCTCTAAAAATTACACCTTGAAGACTTAGAGGCGTTGTTACTATACTTTAACTTTGCTGATGAGTGAAAATCTTTTAATCAAGAATATTACAAGTGGATCTTTACATTTCTCATTGCCACTAGCCTATAATTCTATAATCGTGTTCTTTGATATTCATTAATGCATGTCTTTTTCCCCAATAAATTTTTAAAAATTATTGATGCATAATAAGTGATACATATTTAAAGGGTACAGTTAAAAAAATTGACACACACACACACACACACACATAAAATCACCATAATCAATACGTTGAACATTTTCACCACACCCAAACTTTTCCATGACTCCCTTTTCATTTCTTTTTTTATTTATTACTTTTAAAGATTTATTTATTTTATGCATACAGAACTGGGGTACAGGCCAGAGGTGCAGGGTGTGAGAGGATTCACCAGAGACAGTGGTGAGCAGAACAGGCAGATCCATGAACTACACTGCTGATGGGAGCAGCGGCGGGGCAGAAGAGCTATGCCCCACTGTATGGGTCACCTCCCTGATGGAGGATTGAACTCACACTGCAGTGGCTGTGATAGCCTCATAGTGCTGTGCTGTAACCTGTTAGGCCACCAGGGAAGGCCCCTTTTAGATTTCTTGCTACCTTTCTTTTTCCCCTTCCCCAGGCAATCACTGTTTTGCTTCCTGTTGTATTTGTTTTCTTTTTCTAGTTTTATATAAAGATACCATGTGTATCTTTGCTTATTTGGTCTGATCTCTTTTCTCTGTATAATTATTTTGAGATTCACTTACTTTGTTGTTTGTGTAACAGTTTATCCTTTTTATTGCTGAGTAATATTTCTTTCTAGAGCTATTTCTACAGTTTATCTATTCACCTAATAATGTACATTTGTACTGCTTCCAGTTTTTGACTTTTAAAAACAAAACTTCAATTTTTAGCTGTTATTATCAAAGCTGCTATAAACAATTTTTTAGAGGCTATTTGGCCACTTACTGGCATCCATGGCTATTAACTCTTAAATTCTTTCTACCTTTCCCAGCAACTTGGTAATTAGGGAAGACTATGAAAATATATAACATAGTAGTCATTATCTTCATTCTACCCATTTGAGGTTTTGTTATAGGGAAGAAAATATTTTATTATGAATTTTGAAATCCTAACAGCCTGACCTTCCTAATATGTTACCTTCCTAATATCCCCAAATAAAAATTTTAAATGTAGTTGAAGTCTCTACACCTTAATTAACATTTTCAAATACTTTCTTCATTGTTATAATGTTATGATGTGTATTTTTCTAAAGAGAATATGTTTTTTAATGATGTTTTATTTCCATAAGTAAATATGGCAGGTGAAGTTGTCAAGTTTTCTCTAAACAAGGAATTAGAGACAGGAGGCATTTATGCAATACTTTAGAAAATTGAGATACAGAATCTGATTTATAGTTTTTATTGCTATGAAAAATTTTTACTGCTGTTTTTTAACTTTTTACTTTTAAAATCTCATTTCTTATACACCTGACTTTTAAAAGGAATGTTTTATGTACAATAACATTTCAACCTCTTGAAAAAGTACTTCTTTCTAAATTTCCACTTCTAAAGAAAATTATACAAAGCTTAAATTTTTTTGTCTCTTTCCACTTATTTGCTCTTGACATTGTGTGTGTGTGAACACAGGTATAGTGTCATACGTATATACATCTATCTATAAGTCACTATTCTAAGATAATAAATATTACTTAGTTATGGTATGTAATTGCTTGAAATTTATAGCCTATTAAAAATGGAGTTTTAATTTTTAGGTAGTTTCTTTTAATGTAAAGTGGCCTTAATGTCAAATATATAACTGTCATAGAAATATGTGCACAGTTCTGTCTACTGGTGTGTTTTAAGAGGCTTATTTTATTATACAGTTCTGGGGTACAGACCAGAGGTGCAGGGGCAGTGAGAGCATTCACCAGAGACAGAGTGGGGAGCAGAACAGGCCAACTGACGAAGTACACTGCTGAGGGGAGAAGCGGGTGGGTCAGGAGAGGTCTGCTGGCCATGTGGATCACCTCACCAGCTGGGGATCCAACTTGCACTGAAGCTGCTGTGGCTAACTTGCAGTGCTGTGCTTTAACCCGCTGCAACCAGGGAGGGCCCACTCTATGTATTCTTTACTGACAACTTTTATTATAGATTGAGAAAGGGAGAATATGGTTTTTCCCCAGTAGAATATTACGAACCTAAGTATTATATACTTTAAAAATATAACCTAATTATTAGGGTTTTGATCATTTATGATATCTCCACTTTTTCTTATGGTTTAAAATTAATTTGATTTAATGTCTTTGGTTTTCTTTTGTGGTTACTAATATTTTTTTCTTAATAAGAATATAGTGACTTTTGTGTGGTCTTGAATAGAAATCAATTTTGGTAACTTTTCTTCTCTTTTGATCCTTCATCTCTTTTATCAAGTGCATTATTTTCAAGTGCAAAATATAAGCTAGCATTATCCTGTAAACTAAATAAAAAACAAATACCTTTTTTTCCAGATCTCTACAAAAATGGACTCCAAAGAGCGAACTTTGTACCATTCATAGCTGTTCTGAAGGTAAAGAAAATCACTTACTTATATTCAGTTATTAATATTGAATGACAAAGACTTATGGGATTGCCATGTCTTACATTCAAACAGAATTTGTTTTGATAATTAAAACACTAACAGAGAATAGAATTTTTTATATGATATCATTAATGTGTACAAAGAAAAAAATTCAAAATATAGTCTAAATTATTGTCTAACTGAAACATTTGGTAGTTTGCATTTTATAAATTTTAATTTGAGATTTGCTCATAAATATTATAGTAGGATGTTTAAACTTATACATTGATTTCTAAAAAAATGTTTAATGTTCCTTGTTTCCTTCAGGTTAATGGCCATTAATATGTTTTGCAGCTATTAAAGTTGCTATTCTAGAGTAGCATTATTACAAAAATATTCTAATATATTTAAATGTGATTGCCATCAAGTTATCATGAAATTATGTCAAGTTGAGGCACATAAATAGTTTAAATATTTGTGTGTATTATCACTGCATAGAGTTTAAAATAGTCTTCATTACAATATGATTAAGAATAAAATTGTCTCCTTTTTCAATGTTAATTTAAAGTAATTTTTACATAATTATTCAGTAATTTTATATTCTACTAGTATTTATTGAGAACCTACTATGTGAAAAGTGCTACATCAGGCACATGAATAATATAATCATGAAATAGGACGGATTTGTTGCTTTTAAATCATTTATCAGGCATATAACATGTGTACTAAGACCTGTAACACAAAGCAAAATTCAATAAGTATCAAAAAGAAGCATAATTATTGCTTTAATATAATTTCCATTATTCTTAGGTACATAATTTTTCACAATTCTTAGCAACATATCTGAAGAAAGGATAAAGTTGCATTAAAAAAAAACCTTAAACCTTAATTTTTATCTAGTAGAAGTAAAAACATTTTATCTTCAAATATGTAAGACACAGTAAGACAATAATTTTGAAATATATTTTAGTTGGAGTTGTTGTTGGTGCCAAACTTTATTTCCTGTGCTATTTTGACCAATTTTAGGTTCCTAGAGGATTTGAATTTCTCTGAGATATTTTTAGATGTAGGGAAAAGTACTTCTTGAAGACTTATGCTGTTAGTACTTCTTTCCCCCTTATATTCATGTGTTACCATTAGGTAGAAAGTAAATTTGTTGTGTTTTCTCCACAATAAAGTAATTAATCTGTATATACCCCTAAATCTAAACAGGGACACAAAGAACAATAGGTACTAAAATTGTATCTTAATATAGCATAATATATACAAAATGTAAAGAGGGAAGCTCACAAAATGAAACTAACTAAAAGGTTTTTAGTGAACTTTGGAGTTGTACTTTTTTAAAAAACAAAAGCCTTATTTCTTGGCCAGTACTTCAATATAGAATAGCATTATTAATACAGAACTAAATTAGCCAGATTTAATTTAGTTTCTTTTCCCACAGTTAATATTTTTGAAGAGGAAAGACACATAGAGAAGATGAATAATCTGTTTGAAATCAAGTAAGAACTGAGACAAACAATAGCATAATTTAAAAATCAAAAATGACCAGGGCAACTAAATACTAGATTGGATGAGAAAAGATCTAAAATGTCCCATTTATTCACATGAAACAAAGCACCAGACAGTGAAATAATCAAGAGAGCTGGTTTCCCTGGTGCTTTGTTGGTGACTATGAGTTTCTGTTGTAAGGAGATGTTGTTTTGGACCATGGCAGAGGGCTGTGAGTCTCTAGATGGTGGGCTGTGAGTCTCTGAAGGGGTGTCATCCTCTACCTCTGGACAATCACAGTGTTGCAAACCAAGGTTATCTCAGTAAGAAAAAATAATACAGTAAAATAACAACAAAAAATGGCATTTACCTATCCATATATACTAGTGAGAGTTACTATCTCAATTTGGTCCAGCTGAGTGGAAGTAAATCTTTAAACAAATGGAGAATCTTAGTTTAATTAATAGAGAAATTTATTTGGGGGTGAAGTACAGTGCAAAATCCATTTTTCTCCTTTACATTCTCCTCTGTAAGCCAATTGATAATAATTTTGTAATTCACTACAATAACTTGTGATTTGTTTTGCTTGGAGCATTACAAAAAAGCAAATACTTAGGAACCAAAGTTTTTAGTAAATAATTTTACAAGGCAGTAGGAATAACAAGGAGGACTAACAAGCTGTTAAAAAATAAAATGTTCTATGTTCATACAGTGAAATATTGTTCTGCTAAAAAATGGAATGAAATTCTTACATATGCTCCACTTTAAACGGACCTTGAAAATCTGCTCAATGAAATTAAGCAGTCACAAAAGGACAAATATTATATTATTCCATTTATATGTGGTACCTAGAAAAGACAAATTCATAGAAACAGAAAGTAAAATAGAGGTTTCCAGGGGTTGGATGAAGAGGGCCAGTTATATTGTTTTAGAGTCTCTGGGATGATATAAAAAGTTTTGGACATAGTGGTAATGTTGTATAACATCATAAATGTACTTAATACCATTGAATTATACACTTTAAATGATAAAATTTTGTGATTTCTATAATTTTTTAAAATATGAAAGAAGAAAAGTCATAGGAATAGAAAGGAAATAAACATGTTCAGGTACATTTTCTCTAGGAAGCCTTCCTATGGTATATTTCTTGAGACAAAGCAAAGCAACAGTTAAGCAAAGCTCCTCCCCCACCTCCATTTTCTTATATTTTTCACTTTTTTTTTAAGTAGGAGGGCCTCCTTTATCTGTGTCCTTTAGTTTTCTGACTTGCTGACTTTTCCAGCTCCAAGTCTGGAAAATGTAAGTCACAAAGAAAAACAGAGAATTTGCCATTCAAATTCCCTCAAGTCCCTAGCTGTTCTTCTTTTCCCCACTTTTCAGTGTCTTCTTAGATTGGTTTTACATGTAATTTCCAGGTTCTCAATTGTATATAGTAAGTCCTTGTCTGCTAATTTTATCATCTTTGTTACTTATGGTTTTGATTCTCTAGTCTGGTTCCTCAACCCCATTCCCCACACCTTAGTGCTTCCTGTTTTCCTGCTTCTTTGGAAGTTAGTAATTTGTGATTGGATGCTAGACATGGTCATTACACTGAGTGACTATCTTATTCCTTTAAGGCTGTAGTATTTTATTTTGGCGAGTGGTTTTGTTTCTTGCAGGTCAGCTTGAGTCTTTTGAGGCAGTTTAAAGTTTTGTGAGGTCATGTAGAATAGCCTTTACTTAAGGAAGATTTTGGCCCTGGTAGATGTGGCACTTCTAGAATTTCTACTGAATTCCCTTTATGTTCATTGAAGTCTTTCTATTCTGGCTGTTTAGAATGCTTGTATTTCCCAGCTTTGTGTGGATTATTTTTGGTCCAGTCTTGGAAGTTTCACTCTATACTTGTGCAACTTAATACTTATCCAAAGATTAAAGACATTCCCTTACAGATATCTCTGCATTGCCACCTATTTCATGTGCTGAACTCTGCCACATAAGGCTCCACTTCCTCAGTTTCCTAAAGCTCTGGTGATTCTCATCATGACTCTTTCCAGTGATGCGTCTAGAAATTGCCTCTAGACAGAAAGTTGGGGAAAATGTAGTGTTTGCTTGCCTGATTTATTTCCTGCGTCTCAGGGATTATTACCCTTTGCTATTCATTGTATTATGGCTGATATCAGATGCTTTGCATTTTTTAAAAAAGATTTATTTATTTATTCATATAGAACTAGGGTACAGGCCAGAGATGCGGAGGGTGAGAGGATTCACCAAAGACAGAGCAGGGAGCAGAACAGGCAAATCAACGAAGTACACTGCTGAGGGGAGCAGCGGGCGGGTCAGGAGAGGTCTGCCATGCCATGTGGTCACCTCCGGGGCAGGTGGGAATCGAACTCATGTGGAAGTGGCTTAAGCCTCTCAGTGCTGTGTTTTAACCTGCTGTGCCACCAGGGAGGGCCTGCTTTGCATTTTTTTATCCAGTGTTTTATAAAGATTTATGATAGGAAAACAAAATTGAGTTCTACCTACTTTGCCTTAGTCAAGCACATAATTTTAATTATAGAGAAGAAGAAAATAAGGTTTTTTTTTTTTTGTAATTTGGTAACTCAGAGATAGATTTTTCCTTCAATGCAGAAATATAAATAGAATAACTAAAAAACCATTGATGGGCATATGTTTTTCTCTCACATTTAGTTAAATAGATGATGGTACAATCACATGAGGGGTACAGTATAGTTATTTGGGATATATTTTCAAAAATCTTTTGATATGAAAAGTAATACAGATAATATGAGTTAAAAAAACTATGATGTAAGAGTATATTATTTTCTCAATTGCAGAAATAATATACATGCTTAGGGAAAAAACTGGAAGTAAGTATCCCAGAATATAAATAGAATTTATTTTTGAATAGCGAGATTATAGATGATTAAAACTTCCTATTTTGGGGCCCTCCCTGGTGGCGCAGCGGGTTAAAGCACAGCACTGAGAAGCTTAAGCCACTTCCGCATGAGTTCCATCCCCGCCTGCCCCGAGGAGACCCACATGGCGTGGCAGACCTCTCCTGACCCGCCCTGTACTTCGTCGATCTGCCTGTTCTGCTCCCCACTCTGTCTCTGGTGAATCCTTTCACCCTTCGCATCTCTGGCCTGTACCCCAGTTCTATATGAATAAATAAATAAATCTTTAAAAAAAAAACAACTTCCTGTTTTAGGCTGTTCTAAAACTTGTGGGACAATTATTTTTATAGTAAAAGCCATTTCTATGAGGTAAATCTTTGCCACTTCCTAGGAAATCAGCAGACCTGAATAGAACTGCCCATACTAAAAATTGAAATGTTTGCAAAAAGCAAAATGGATTGAATATGGATTCTACTAATAGGAGCTTTTATTAAAAGAAATGGAATGGCAGGTATAGGAAGAAAGCAGCAGGATTAGATGAGAGAGGGAGACCTGAACTAACAGATAAGAGTGCATGAAGAGTATATTTGGGAAAAAGAATTACTGGAGATTTTTTTGTTAAAGCTTTTCCATATTTTAAGA